CAAAAACCACAGAAAATATATTCTACGAAATCATAGAAGAAAACTTTCCCAACCTAAAGAAGGACATGCCTATGAAAATGCAAGAAGCTACAGAAGACCAAATAGCCTAAACCAAAAGAAAAGTCCAAGGAACATATAAAGGCAAACTTTCTATCAGAATTACACCTGACTTCTCAGTGGAGGTTTTGAAAGCCAGCGGGTCCTGGACAGATGTTCTGCAGACACTAAGAGACCATGGCTGCCACCCAGACTACTATATCCAGTAAAACTTTCAATAACCATAGACAGAGGAAACAAGATATTCCATGATAAAACCAGATTTAAACAATACCTATCCAGAAAGCCAGCCCTATAGAAAGTACTAGAAGGAAAACTCCAACCCAAGAAAGTTAGTTCTACCCACAAAAATGCAAGCAATATATAATTCCATACCAGAAAATCCCAAAAAAGTGAAATACACATACACTACCACAAAAAGAAGAAAACCAAAACAAACAAAAATAACTGGTCATTAATATCCCTTAATATCAATGGACTCGATTCACTTATAAGAAGACACAGGATAACAAAATGTATACAAAAACATGAACTGACCTGTTGTTGCATGCAAGAAACACACCTAAACTTCAAAGACAGACATTTCCTCAGAGTAAATGGTTTGGAAAAGACTTTCCAATCAAGTAGACCTAAGAAGCAAGCTGGCATAGCCATCCTTGTAGTGAGATAGTCCTTCTGTGGCACTGACCACGCCCATTGGGGGGTGCCATGGGCAGAAGTGACCTGTGGAAGAAGGTCGGAGGAAGAGCCAGGAAAAGCTCTCTTGCTGGCGGGACTTGGACAGGAGAGCATCGGGTGGAATTTCCTGGTGTTCATCTGTCTAGGTTGTAAGTAATTTCTCCCTGAATAAACATCTATTCGGCCTATTTGTTTATCCTGATCCTTATTTAACCACGATACATCCTAATATCTAACAAAATAAACTTCAAATTAAAATTAATCAAAAAAGATGAAGAAGGGCATTTCATATTCATCACAGGAAAAATCCATCAAGATAAAGTCTCAGTTCTGAACATTTATGCCCCAAATACAAGGGCACCTACATTTGTAAAAGAAACGTTACTAAAACTCAAATCACATATAAAAACCCATAAACCTTTAGTGGGAGACTTCAAAAACCCACTCTCACCAGTGGACATGTCTGCCAGACAGAAACTTAACAGAGAAATAAGGGAACTAACAGATGTTATGACTCAAATGGGAGTAACAGACATCTACAGAACCTTCTCAGCACCTCATGGAACCTTCTCCAAAATTGACCAAAAATCTCAACAGATTTAAAAAAAACCAAAAAAATGAGGCCACAGTTACCCTGATACCAAATCCACATAAATATGCAGCTAAGAAAGAGAATTACAGACCAGTCTCCCTCATGAACATTAATGTAAAAATACTCAATAAAACTGGATGAAGTAGGCTTCATTCCATAGATGCAGAGTTGGTTCAACATATGGAAATCTGTCAATGTAATCCACCATATAAGCAAACTGACAAACAAAAAAATGTATGATCATCTGATTAGATGCTGAAAAAGCCTTTGACAAAAATCTAACAATCCTTCATAATAAAGGTCTTGGAGACATAATAAAAGCAATATACAGAAATCTGACAGCCAACACCAAATTAAATAGAGAGAAACTCAAATTGATTCCACTAAAATCAGGAAGAAGACAGGGTTGTCCATTTTCACCATATTTATTCAATATAGTACTTGAAGTTTTAGCTAGAATAATAAGACAACAAAAAGAGATCAAGGAAATACAAATTGGAAAGGAAGAAGTCAAACTTTTGCTATTTGCATATGATATGATAGTTTTGGTAAGTGACCCCAAAAACTCTACCTGGGAACTCATACAGCTGATTAACACCTTTAGTAATGTGGCAGGACACAAGATTAACTAAAAAGAACCAAATCAGTAGTCCTCCTATATACAAATGACAAAGAGGCTAAGGGGTAACTCTAACCAAACAGGGGAAAGGCCTGTATGACAAGAACTTGAAGTCTCTGAAGAAAGAAATTAAAGAAGATATTAGAAAATGGAAAATCACCCATGCTGTTGGATAGGTAAGATTAACATAGTAAAAATGATAATCTTACCAAAAGAAATCTACAGATTCAGTGCAACCCTCATCAAAATCCCAATACAATTCTTCACAGACCTCAAAAGAATAATACTTAACTTCATATGGAAAAACAAAAAACCAAGGATAGCCAAAACAATCCTGTACAATAAAGGAACTTCTGGGGGCATCACCATCTCTGACTTCTATAGAGCTATAGTAATAAAAACAACTTGGTAATGGTATAAAAACAGAGAGGTGGACCAATGGAATAAAACTGAAGTCCCTAATATTAATCCACACACTTATGAACACCTGAGTTTTGACAACCAAGTTAAAATTATGAAATGTAAATAAGAAAGCATCTTCAACAAAAGGTGCTGGAATATTGGATGCTGACATGTAGAAGAAAGCAAATAGATCCACGTGTATTGCTGTGCACAAAACTCAAGTCCAAATGGATCAAAGACCTCAATATAAAACTAACCACACTGAACCTCTTAGAAGAGAACGTGGGAAGTATTCACGAACCCATTGGCACAGGAGACCACTTTCTAGTAGCACAGACACTGAGAGTAGTAATAAATGGGACCTTCTGAAACTGAAAAGTTTCTGTAATGCAGAGGACATGGTAAATAAGACAAAATAGCAGCCTACAGAATGGGAAAAGATCTTTACCAACCCCACATATGACAGAGGGCTGATCTACAAAGTATACAGTGCACTCAAGAAACTAGACACCAAAATACCAAATAATCCAATTAAAAATGGGGTACAGATGTAAACAGAATTCTCAAAGAAGAATCTCAAATGGCTGAAAGACATTCAAGGAATTGCTCAACATCCTTAGTCATCAGGGAAGTGCAACCCAAAACAACTCTGTGATATCATTTTATACCTGACAGAATCAAAAACTCTGATGACATCTTATTCTGGAGAGGTTATGGAGTAAGGGGAATACTCCCCTACTGCTGGTTGGTGTGAAAACATGTCCAACCACTTTGGAAATCAGTCTGGTGGTTTCTCAGAAAATTTGTAATTAATTCATCTCAAGACCCAGCAATACCACTCTTTGGCATATACCCAAAGGATGCTCAATCATATCACAAGGATACTTGGTTAACTATGTTCATAGCAGTATTATTCACAATAGCCAGAACTTGGAAACAACCTAGATGCCCCTCAACCAAATAATGGATAAAGAAAACTTGGTACATTTATGAAATGGTGTATTACTCAGTGGTAAAAAGCAATGACATAAAATTTGCAGGCAAATGAATAGAACTAGGAAAAAAACATGCTGACTGAGGTAACCCAGATCCAGAAAGACAAACATGGTATGTACTCACTGATAAATGGATAATGCATGTAAAACAAAGGTTAGCCAGACTACACTCCATAGACCCAGAGAAGCTAGGTAAAAAGGGGACCCTAAGAGGGATGCATGGATCACCCTGGGAAGGAGAAATAGATGAGATTTCCTGTGTAAACTGGGGAACATGAGGGAATGGGATGGTTGAGTTGGGGGAGGCGTGGAGAGGGAGGGCAATGAAAGAGATTCCTTGATAGAGAGAGCCATTATGGGGTTGGGGAGAAACCTGGTGCTAAAGAAATTCCCAGGAATCCACAAGAATAACCCCAGCTAAGACTCCTAGCAGTAGTGGGGAAGGTGCCTGAACTGGATTTCCCCTGTAATCAGATGGGTAATTACATTAAATATCATCACAGAACTTACATCCAGTAACTGATGGAAGCAGATGCCGAGGTCCACAGCCAAGCACCTGGCTGTGCTCCAGAAGTCTAATTGTAGAGAGGAAGGAAGGACTATATGAGCAAGGGCGGTCAAGATCATGATGGGAGAAACCCACAGAGAGAGATGATCCTAGTTCACGGGAGCCCAGGGACTCTAGACCCACAGCTGGGAGCCTGCATGGGATGGAACCAGACCCTCTGCATGGAGGTGACAGTTGTGTGCCTTGATCTGTCTGTGGGGCCCTCCACAGTGGGACCTGAATATGTCCTTGGTGTATGAGCTGGCTTTTTGAACCTATTCCCTATGGTGGGATGCCCCACTCAGCCATGATGCAGGGGGGAAGAACTTGTTCCTGCCTCAACTTGATGTGTCATGCTTTGTTGACTCCCATGGGAGGCCTTACTCTTTCTGGAGAATGGATGGGGGGTGGTGGTAGAAAGGAGGTGGAGGGAGGGAACAGAAGGAGAGGAGGGAGGGGAAACTGGTCAGTATACAAAATAAAATATTTAGTAAAAAATGTATTTGATGACTTTATAAAACGTGGGTTTGCTGTAGGTAGGAAGCAATGGGAAAGGCATGCGTCAAGGTATGAGTGTTGCTAGGCGCTGACTTGTTTTTCATCAAAGGGTGTTTTTTGAGACTAGAGCATGGAAGCTGGTAAGTACTGGTATGTATAACACTATAGATAACACTAACTCCATGAGCGGTTATGTTTTAAAATTATTTTAAATAAAAACAAATCTTCTTCCTATGCATCATTTTTCTACAATTTTTAAACAGTTGGTGGCTGAAAGTTCATTTGGCTAGAGGTATTGGGGATATATCTGAGGAATCTCCTTAGTCCTTTTCAAGGGATTGTTGCGTGCGAATTTGTAGGAAGTAAAGGTCGAAGTCATGGTGTCATAGACGTGGAAGCAAATCCTAAGGGAATTGGTTTGGAGTTTGAGAAGAAAAGGAGATATGCACGTACTGAACTATCTATCACATGCTCACTGACCACTACCAAATTGTCCCTTTAAACTAATTGGGTCAGCATTTATTTTAAGTGATCATCTTCATTGTATAGTCCAAGTGCCAGTCTGTTTTCTGTAGTTTTCTTACTGCGTAGGAGGTCTGACGGCATATTTTCATGCATTGTTCTCATTTCTATCTTAACAACTTGAAGGATTCCCGAGTCGGTAACAATGTGGAAGATAAAGTGAATTTCGAAGATGAAAGTCAAACTGTGTACATGGAAGACTGCAAGGAGTCACGTGATACTAAGAACAAAGTAACCGGAGAAGGAAAACATTTTACGGGCAGTATGTTTTAAACATTACCACAATTGCAAAGATATCAAACTTTGACAGAAAAATATGCCTTCATTATTTTATATTCACCTGATCCAAGGCCAGATGCTTGGTGTTTGACATTTAGTAAGTATGTGCTTAATAGATACTTGTTAAGAATCGTCTTCCTTCCAGAGTACAGTGATGGCAACATGATCACAAGTGCCTTAAGGGAAAGTATTTATAGTATTTGTGCAGCCTTTTAAAAGTAAGGAATACCAAGTATTTTCTCTGAAATCAAAGGGAAATGTATTGTGCAAGTTCAGCCAGAAATGAGCAAACCAGCCAAACCAGAATCTTAATGTTTCTTAACGTGCATGCGTGTGCGTGCGTGCATGCGCGCGCGTGTGTGTGTGTGTGTGTGTGTGTGTGTGTGTCCCCACATTCCAGGACACACTTGTGGAGGCCAGAGGGCAATTTTTAGGAGTCAGTTCTTTCCGTTTACCATGTGATTCCCGGAATTGAACAGATTTTTCAAGATTGGTGGCAAGTGCCTTACCCATTGAGCTATCTTGATGGCCTCCAAAGCTTTGGTTAATATTTATTATGCATATGTATGCTATTCATTTGGCTATATAAAATATAGAACTAGAAAAAATAAGACAGATTTATTTTTAAAATTAACTGGCATGGTATATAAGTAAAGTATAATTGCATTTTCTTTATTGTATAATAGTAATTAATATCTCAGCAGGCTGGCAGAGGTCACAGGTATGTAATCCTAACATTTGAGAGTTTGAGAGGTGGAGGCTGGAGGATCAGGAAGGCGTTAAAAGCCAGCCTGGACTACATGAGACCCTGTCCCCCACCCACTTTCTGTACCTTCCTGCCTCTAAACATCTCACAAAGTAAGAGTAAGGCATTGAGCACATTGTTTCTTAAGCAAATGAATAATTTGAGGGAATCTATATTATTAGGAAGTGTAATTTCGTTAAGAACGTTGAAGCAATTGCTTTTTGGCCAATCCCACTTTAAATACATATATACTAACTAAAACATGGTTATAAGTTCACATAAATTGAGATACTAGTCTTTATTTTAAATCATGTGAAATTCATTGTTATTGCTGTAATTGTTTTATATAAGGATGTTATTTTCTTTCTGATTAAGGAAACTTGCAAAATTCTATTTTTTCCTATACAAGAAGTACCAAAAAACTACTGAGAAATATAATGGATGCGCAGTAAGCATCTCTGGATTATTTATCTAGTCAGGTATGGAATTCTTTTGGCATTTCATTGCATTACATGTGCGCATTGGCATAGCTGGCTGGAAGTACAATCATTTTATTTTATGCATGATTGTTCAATATCTATGACGTGGAAGCATGTAACAGAAAGCAATGAAGCAGACCTTTGTTCAAGGGGTAAGCAGCCTGGTGAGGAGAATACAAGCATGGGGGAATAGAAAATCAGAATGATGGGCAGTCTCTCAGAAGAGAGCCTGTGAGCTGAGCAGTGAGAGATGAGTGAATGTTTTAAATTTCACCAGGTTGGAAAGCTGGGGAGAGCCTCCCCTCTGGGCAGTTCTTATGAGTTAGTGCAGGGGTGGGAAGGCTGGTGAGGTTGGGGATGTGTAAGGAAGCCTCACTACAGGAATCAGGAACTAAATCTCGTTAGACCACAGCTCACGGAATCATGTGAGCAAGGAAATGGACACCGCAGAAGTCATGGCAGACAGAACTAGCTTGTAGGAGATGCTGCAGGATGGGATGTTGGCTACTTATGCCTTTATTGTGTCAGGACAGTAAGAATCCACCCTAGAAGAGAAGGCATCCTGCTGTAGAGAGGCTCACAGACAGTGTTTATAGAATTTAGCTAAGTATGCCCTTGTCTGGTGTGTCTGTGTTTAGGTTAGCGAGCTCATGAATCGAATTCTCCTTTTGTCTACAGAAGTTTCTAGAAAACAGCTGGCTCCTTTTCCTTCCTGGCCCGTTCTGTCGCATAGTGAGAGTACTGCCATTTTAGCCTCTTCACACTTCTGTTTGATTACTCAAAATTCTCTGCACAGCTTGGTGCATTGAAAAGTTTTAGAATTCACTGTTCACTCTTTCCTAACAGTCTGTAGGACTAGCATCTGCTACTAACCCAGTTACACCACGTGTCCTGTCCGAAGCTGAAGAACTTTTCATCGTTTGGAAACCAGAGCTTAAAATAATAGCAGGAATCTGTTGAACATCAGGTAACTTTAGGTTCTGTGTTCTGAACATCCCGCCCTGGTATTTTATTAATAATTGCTTTTTACCCAGAAGAGGAGCTCCAGAGGGCCCCCGACCCCCGTGAAAAGTGGGTTATGTAACATTAAAATGGAAAAAAATACAGAAATAAATACAAAGTTCTTTTTTTTTGCATTAAAATACAACATTTATTCCTACATGCTTGTGCTTCTAAGAAAATGCTGTGTAAATTGTACAAATACAAATTTATATAAAAATTCCAAGCAAATGAATATTACTGAGGCCCAAGTAGGTTTTCCTTAGGAGGGAACAGATGGAGATTGAGTATCTTTGTAAGGACTTTAAAATGACTTGTCCTGTCACTCTCTTCTCAGTGGTAGAGCAAAATGTAGCAGAGCATGTAAGTGTGTGTGCCTGTGTGAGTTTATGTGCATCTCATGCATCCAGGGGACAGAGAGTGTTGGATCCCCTGGGACTGAAGTTACAGACAGGAGTACTGTCTGGGTGCCAGGAACATAGCCTGGGTCCTTTGCAAGAGTAATAAGGGCTCCTAATTGTTAAACGTTCTCTCTGACCCCACAATATTTTAAACACTAATCGCTAAAAGACATTCATTGCAAGGATTTGCTGCAGCCCAATTCTTTAACTGCTGTTTTCATTTGAATTCCAAATTTGTGATCACTTCATTTCTAAGAAGTTAAAGTCATGGTATCACTAATAGCAACAATTTCAGACAGCATTGTCGACTGTCTTAGGTACAGTCCTGTGCACTAAATGACTACGTTTATTTTCTAGGCTTGGATTGCACTGATATTAAAGATCTAGTTGGTTCTGTCACTAAAACCCCTAGTGGTTTATATGTAATCTTTCCAGAATGATCTAGCTATCCATTTGAGGTAAAAGTTTTCCCTTATTATACAGAATAAACACCAAGCTAACTTAATATTGAAATTATAATTTTTTACTATTTATTTAAAAATGTTTGTCTTTAAAAATTTAAATAAATTAGCAAAATTCACAGTTTGAAAAGTTTGGTTTCCTTTACATCTTATGCTCAGACCATGAATTTCAGCTTCCTACCTGAGCTTCCATAGTTACACTATTTAAAGTAAATCCATCTGTTGCAAGGTTTTATACTATGCTTATTGGGGCAGAACTGTGCATTATAAATCCTTGCTCTAATTAGTAAATGGAGACTAGGCAACATTGATATGCTGTAGCATGGGGCTTACTAAGCTTTTATTTTGCTTCCTACTTACAGCTATACTTTTTGGATGATAGATTATTTTACAATGTGAGACTTTGTTTCAAAAATTAAAAAAGAAGTGAATAGAAAGTCTTTTCCTTCGGCATAAGGAAGATTGAAAAACTGATCCATGCTTATGTGAATAGTATGAATTATACTTTGTCTATCCTTAGTACTTGTCTGCTTTATTTCTAGAGGACACACAATGCTGATGGACAGAAATGTGTGTATATGCATATTTTTTTCTGGGTACTTTCTCAGTGTATAGAAGTTTTATGATCAATAGTCCATATTGTACAACAACCTTTCTTTCTAAGTTGATGCAAAGAATTTCTGTTCTTAGCATTATTATCAAAATTCCTCTTGAAATCTATTGATGAGATTACCAAAAAAAAAAAAAAAAAAAAAAAAAAACCAAACAGGGCTTAGGTGGGAAATAACTTTAAAAACTAAGTCTCTTAGCCTACACATTGAAAACTAGGTCTGAACAGCTGTAGAAGGAAGCCTTCTAACTTTGCAAGGAGTGGGTTGCATAATTACTTCTCCTGTGGAAAGTGCTGGTGCCTCAGCTTCCTCCACACTGCTTTTTTTTTCTGTCTCTGTGTAGGAGGTCTCTGGTAGAATGGATTACTTTGATTTCCCCCCCCCCCCCGTGGTTTCTGAGTGCCCCAGGCAGGTGCATATCACACGCATTCAACAGGAGCTCCATGTGGTCACTGCTGAGTGGTACAGCTCAGGCTTTTCTGTCTTGAAATGTCAATCTCAACAGCAGTTTGTGGGAGAAAAGAAAAGCCAGAGGCAGGCAGACAACATATTTAACACTAAAAAACCAGCATCATAATCCAAAGCACAGTCGCAGCATTATAATCCAAGAACAAAGGCATTCGTGAAGCCATCCATCTCTGCCATAGCACCTCAGCACTGCTATCCTTGAGGCAATGAATAATATGATAACCTTAAAATACTGCAAACACTTGAGTCTTTAAAAAAGTTACCCATGCAAGCCTGCAGTTAGGCTAATAATTAGTTTGTCTACATAGTCGGATTTCTAGAGAGTTGAAAATATGAACACATTCATGGGAATGAAAACTTTCTTGTGTTTATTTTCCTGTAGATGTATGGATGAGGTCTGTGCTGTTAAATGCCGAAACAATGATGTGTTGCTTTGGCATTTTCTGGGATCATTTTAGGTGATAGGTGACATGGATTTCAGAGGAGGAGGATGGATGGTGTTTCAGAAAAGGATCTCTAGGACAACTGACTTCCGGAGGCTGTGGTGCGATTACCTGGATGGATTTGGAGACCTTGTAGGTAAAATTTCATGTATTTATGCTGTGGCTTTTCTCTTTCTATTTAAAACGATTGTTTTCAGTTAAGACCTAGCAATCTGGGCTGAAGACCTGTATTAGCAATTAATACCACCTGCTGCTCCTCCGGAGGACATAGGTTCAATTCCCAGATCCCACATAGCAGGTCACACTTCTCTGTAACTCCTATTCCATGGGGTCCAAAACCTTCTTCTGGCTTTTATAAGCCCAGGCAAGTGCTTCCCGGTTGTTCATGGAATGAGGAAATGTAGTGGGATATTCACTTTGTCTCCTTCTGTGTCGCTGACCACACCCATTTGGGGGTGGAGCCAGAGGCAGAAGTGACCTGGGGAACTAGGTCTGAGGAGGAGCCGGGAAAGCTCTCTTGCTGGTGGGAGGTGGAGAGGAGAGCATCCGGTGGAACTTGCTGGTGTTTATCTGTCTAGGTTGTAAGTTATTTCTCCCTGAATAAACATCTATTCGGCCTATTTGTTTATCCTGATCCTTATTAAACCGCACTAGGGGAAAAAAAAAGGAGGCAGGGTTGTCATAGACTTAAAATAATATAGATAGAATATATGACCATTAACCATTTGAATAGAATGTAATTTTATAAAACTATGATGTACATTATTATTCTCTAAATTTGAAGAGACTGTTGACTAAGCAGATCTATAGATCTATAGGCAAACACTTTTTTTTTTTTTTTTTGGCAAACCCAGGGTGCTTTATATTTAGCACAATTAAAATATATTGGGGATGCAATAAAATGAGCTGTTAACTCTTAAATACGAGACCAGAATAAAGCTGAAAGAAATTAAAGCCAATAACAACTGTGAAGCTAACATCGCCTGTCGGAGCCCTTCCTACAATCTGTGTACTTTTTCTTGTACTTCTATCCAGTCCTAACAGGGTGGTAGCTAAAATACCCAGGGAAAAGACCTTAATATCTTAGTCACAGCGTCCCGAGTTTTAATACTGTCTATCTGTGAGATTTAAATTTTATATCCTGTCACTTCATAATGTAGCATCTCAGCGATGCTCACATTTATAATTCACCGTGAGTGAGGGGAAGAAATGTGCATGCAGCAGCCCTGTCTGAACCAGGAGCCCTGTTAGTACTGTCCATCTCAGATCTACAGCTGTTTTAGGAATACTGACTCCAAATTTGGGGAACCCTCAGTGTGCCCATGTTCTGTTTCCATTGATAGGTAAATGCAAGCTGCTTTTAAAGAAAGAAATGCTTATTTATAAGGATTTTCCAAGGCAGAAACAGAAATTTCAAACGAGCGCTTTCAGCAAATGTTTCTTTCTTTGAAAAACAGTAAGATTAACTTTTTTTATTTTACATATCTATTTTTTGTTATTTTTCTTATTTTACATATCGATCCCAGTTCTCTCTCCCTCCCTTCTTCCCTCTCTCCCACCCTCCCATGCTGGCAGACCACCCTCCTCTCCCATCTCCCCCACTCCACATGTAGGGTGGTGCCTTCCAGGAGGGGTCATATAAATCTGTCAAGTCATTTGGAATAGGGACTAGGCCCTCCCTCCTGCCTCTAGGCTAAGGGAGTGTCCCTCCATGGGGACATGCTCCCATGCTCCCAAAGTCCTTTTGTGCAGCAGGGATTCATCCTGGTTCCACTGTCAGAGGTCCCTTAGACTTCCCAGGCCTTCTAACTGAGACCCATGTTCAGGGGTCTGAGTTGGTCCCATGCTGGCTTCCCAGCTATCAGTCTGGAGGCCCCTTAGCTCCTCCTTGTTCAGGTCAGCTGTCTCTGTGTGTTTCTGCAGCCTGGTCTTGTCCTCCCTCTCTGCATCTGAATGACTGTTTGGCTCAGTGTGTAGTTGTGGGTATCTGCTTCTGTTTCCATCAGCTACCAGATGAGGGCTCCATGATGGTGGATAAGTTAGTCATCAATCTCATTATCAGGGAAGAGCATTTAAGGTAGCCTTTCCACTGTTGCTCAAATTGTTAGTTGGGGTCATTCTTGTAGGTCTCTGGACATTTGTCTAGAGTTAGTTTTCTCTTTAAATCTATAATGGCTCCCTCTATTATGGTATCTCTTTTCTTGCTCTCCTCTATTCTTCCCCCGACTCAATCTTCCTGCTCCCTCATGTCCTCCTCCCCCCTCCTCTTCTCCCCCCTCTTTCTTCTAACTACCCCTGCCTCCTCTCAATTTGCTCAGGAGATCTTGTCCCTTTCTCCTTGTCCAGGGGAACATGTATGTCTCTTTTAGGGCCTCCTTGTTTCCTAGCTTTTTTGGCGGTGTGTATTGTAGGCTGGCGGTCCTTTCCTCTATGCCTAATATTCATATATATGTGAGTATACACCATGTTTGTCTTTTTGTGACTGGGTTACCTCACTCAGAATGGTTTCTTCAAGTTTCATCCATTTGCCTGCAAATTCCAAGATTCCATTCCTTCTCCTCTACCCCCCGCCCCCAACACTGAGTAGTACTCCAATGTGTAAATGTGTCACATTTTCTTTATTGGGGCATCTAGGTTGCTTCTAAGTTCTGGCTATTACAAATAATGATGTTATGAACATAGCTGAACAGATGTCTTTGTTGCATGGATATGAATCATTTGGGTATATGCCTAAGAGTGGAATTACTGGATCTTGTGGTAGACTGATTCCCATTTTCCTAAGGAACCACCATACTGATTCCCAAGTGGCTGTACAAGTTTGCACTCCCACCAGCAGTGGAGGAGTGTTCCACTTTCTTCATATCCTCTCCAGGATAAACTGTCTTTGGTGTTTTTGATTTTAACCATTCTGACAGGAGTAAGTTGGTATCTCAGAGTTGTTTTGATTTGCATTTCCCTGATGGCTAAGCATGTTGAACACTTTCTTAAGTGTCTTTCAGCCATTTTGGATTCCTCTATTGAGAATTCTCTATTCAGTTCTGTTCCCCACTTTTTAATTGGTTTATTTAGTGTTTTGGTAACTAGTTTCTTGAGTTCTTTGTATATTTTGGAGGTCAGCCTTCTGTCACATGTGGGGTTGGTGAAGATCTTTTCCCATTCTGTGGGCTGCCGTTTTGTATTGTCGACTGTGTCCTTTGCCTTACAGAAGCTTCTAAGTCTGAGGAGGTCCCATTTATTAACTGTCAATCTCAGTGTCTGTGCTACTGGAGTTATGTTCAGGAAATGGTCTCCTGTACCAATTTGTTCAAGGGTACCTCCCACTTTCTCTTCTAGAGGTTCAGTGTGGCTGGATTTATGTTGAGGTCTTTTATCCATTTGGACTTGAGTTTTGTGCATGGTGATAGACATGAATCTATCTGCAGTCTTTTACGTGCCTGCATTCTGTTGTGCCAGCACTATTTGTTGAAGATGCTTTATTTTTTCCACTGTATAATTTTAGATGCTTTATCAAAAATCAGGTGTTCATAGGCGTATAGGTTAATATCAGGGTTTTTAATTTGATTCCATTGGTCTACTTGTCTATTTTTTGTACCAATCCAAGCTGTTTTCAGTGCTATAGCTCTATAGTAGAGCTAGAAGTCAGGGATGGTGATGACTCCGAAGTTCCTTTATTGTAGAGAGTTGTTTTGTCTATTGTGGGTCTTTTATTTTTCCATAAAAGTTGAGTATTGTTCTTTCAAGGTCTGTGAAGAAATCTGCTGGAATTTTAAATGGGGGTTGCTTTTGGCTAGATTGCCATTTTTACTGTGTTGATCCTACCTATCCAAAAGCATGGGAGATCTTTCCATTTTCTGGTATCTTCTTTAATCTCTTTCTTTAAAGACTCAAAGTTCTTATTATATAGGTCTTTCACCTGTTTGGTTAGCATTACCCCAAGATACTTTATGTTGTTTGTGGATATTGTAAAGGATGATATTTCTCTAATTTCTTTCTCAGCCCCTTTATCATCTGTATATAGTAGGACTACTGCTTTTGTTGAGTTTATCTTGTATCCTGCCAGTTTACTGAAGGTGTTTATCAGCCATAGGAGTTTTCTGGGTCACTTATGTAAACTATCATATCATCTGTGAATAGTGAAAGTTTTACTTCTTCCTTTCCAATTTGTATCCCCTTGATCTCGTTCTGTTTTCTTATTCAGCAAATGTTTCTTAAGGAACAGTTGATTTGAGATTAAAACTACATTTACTGAGTTACATAATTTGTTAGTTTTAGTAAGTTTTCTCTTGACATGCTATAAAAGTAAACCTTGGTCTTTTATTTCTTCTTTAAATACACTTTTATGCTGAATTTTGGGAAATAAAATTGAAGCAGTTTGATTCTGTTCACTCTAGAGAATTAATAATATAAGTAAATTAGATAATAGTTGATCGATGAGTTGAGGCAGACCATCTGTTGTCCTGGTTATGGAAATGGTGAATAGCTTCAATATTCACTAATAAAAGATTGTCCTCATTTAAATAAATGTATTAAAACAAAGCATTTCTTTCATAGGAGAATTTTGGCTAGGACTGAAAAAGATTTTTTACATAGTAAACAAGATTTAGTTTTATGCTTCACGTGGCCCTGGAATCTGAAGATTACACCTTGGCTTATGTTTCATATGATAATTTTTGGTTAGAGGATAAAATGAATTTTTTTAAAATACACTTAGGATGATATTCTGGAAATGCTGATAAGTTTTTAATTACTAAAGTGACACTAAAGTTGAGCTATTATTTGCCCAGTATTATGTAAAGATAGTGATAATGCAGGACATAATGATGATATAATAGAGGACACTGTGTAAGTCTGGAACTCTGTTGTGAACACTTTCCTTAATGGCCTTGGTGTGTTTATGTCTTGCGGATGGAGATGCTGGGGCCGGTTGTGTAAGCAACATTCCTAATTTCACACCCACGGAGTAAGAGCCTCCCAACTTTGTCAGTGAAGAAACCTGAAAAGGAAGAGTCTGGCCCAAGACTTCTGTGAATCATACGTCTTCCATCCAATCCCAGTCCACACAGACACCAAGTTCTTTTCTCTCTCCCTTGATGCATTTCCAAAAATGTAACTCATTGGAACTTCAGAATACTTGATGATAAGTTTGTATTTTGGAGCTGAAGTTTGAAAGACATTTGAGTGAATACTAAGTTCCATTTCCCTATTTTTCTCTTATTTTGTACTTGCTGGATACACACACACACACACACACACACACACACACACACACACACACTATGTATCAGTGTTAGAAAGTCACAATGAATGCTATATATCCTTTGGCTGTGATACAGAGGCAACACAAATGACCCTGAAAACACAGAAGACTGATCGACCTTTAGGTTTAAAGAGAACTTGTGTGATTGCAACCGGGAGATTTTTGTGGGCAGATGGGTAGATTTAAAAAGGAGGCGAACCTTAATGCTTTTTGAAAGTAGACATTCATGCGGTCACTTGAGGTCAGGTGGACGTGCTGGCATTCTGAGAACTGCACACTGAGTCCTGTAAGAAAAGACAGGCCTTTGGCGAGTGAATGTTGGCAAATGGGCCAGCTTGTGTCACAGCACAGAGGAGGAGATGGCCTGCAGGGGGACTGCTTGGTGTGGCTGGAACTCATGGCATATTAGGGGGGTTTGAACTTGAGACATTAGGTGAAAGTTGAAATTCAAGTATTCATAGATATAGGAAAACTTGGAGGATGATTTATGAGGTTTTCAGGGTTCACTTGCAAATGTGTAAAGAATTGCCTTTGTATGGAGCATGCCACATCAGGAAGCTTATATGGAGATCTCCAAAAGATGATTATGCTTTTGTAAGAGAATGTTTTATTTTCCTTACAGAGCTGTTAAATTTCCCATGGTCATTAAGTAGCGTTTGGAATCAAATGATGAAGTCAATCTACGGCAAGGAAAAGGTGCAGTGTAAATAGATATGTAGATAAAATCTTATCAGGCACAAATTAGGCACTGAGCTTGTGACAAAAATACAAATATGAACTTGAACATTTGAGTAAAGATGGACAATGACCAAGGAAAGAGATTTGGGCACGCACGCACATGTAGTACAAATATATCTCATAATAAAACTCTAGACAAATTTCCGTGGATTCTCAGAGAAAGCAGCATTGTATCTTTGTCTTTGGGGTAACTAAAATACTTAACAGAAACAACTTAAGGGAAGAGGGGCTCATTTTGACCCACATTTCCAGAGCTGTTTCAGCAAGATTGCAGAGGAGAGCAGTTCATATCTGTTGGCTAAGTAGAGAAGGGTAGAGACAAGACGTAGCTCTGAGGTCATGTGACCTACTTCCATCACTGTCAGGTATCATTTCCCTGTCTCTCGGTAAGGCCTCTGTGTGATTGGCAGGGTCCCCTGGCTGTCTGTCACTCTCCAGAAGTGCCATCGCAGACTCACCCAGATGTGTGCTTAGTGTATCTTCTCTCTAAAGATCATCAGTTAGTTTAATTCTGAGAGCCATGTTAATGCAAACATGGTGGGTGAGGTCTAGTGAACTGTTTTCCAGGAATAGCCTGTGTGTGCGTGTGCTTGTGTATTTAAAAGGAGTGACTCAGTATAATCCATTAAGACGTCATCTGGTGTAGATTCTCTTGCTGTTGAACTTTGTCAGTGGAGAATGTTCATGGCATGGCCACAGAATTTAGGCACTGCTCCCCAGCTGAATTGCGAATTTTTTTAAAATGGCCTTTTATTTATTTATTTTGTGCATGTGTATGTGTGTAGGCACATTCATGCCACGGTGCATGCGTTTAAGTCAGAGAACAACTTGGAAAGCCTGCTCTCTCCTCCTAGTATGTTAGTTCTGGAGGATGACTTCAGGTCATCAGGCTTGTTAGCAGGCGCTTTTACCAATCCACCCAGTTTCCCAACCCACCAGGTGAACTTTTCAAAGGTACCGCACAGCATGGATGCTGAAATTATTAAAGGTGCAGATACATACTTCAATCAGCATGTGTCTCCTTATGGCATAACTTGCAGGGTCAGGGGACTTCACTAACCAGCAGCGCTGGCTTAAGAGAGGTCACACTAACGAAGTTCTTCAGGGTCCCCAAAGTATTTACTGCAGAAGATCCCAAAGCACAGAAGCATAATCAACAAACGCAGGTCCTTTACATAGCTTCTCTTCCAGCTGAACACGTCAGTCAAAAATTCTATGGAGGTGCAATGTAGTTATGAATCCATTAACTTCATGGGACTGTATGAAATAAAATATAGATCCCGAGCTTGCAGTTTAATTAGTAGCTGGACGGTCTTGGTCAAGAAAGTTAATCCTGGAAGCCCCTGGTGAATATCAGGCATGATAGTCATACAGTGTTCAGTGTAAGCTCCTGAAAAATGAGCCATCTACACTGAATGTGAAAAACCACGAAGGAAGCACAACTCCATAGAACATCAGAACTTTCTGTGAGCTCATTAGTCATGCCACAGGGACACTAGATTCATAAATGGAAGCCAACAATGTTGCAATTACAAATCTAATACTCTTTTAAAATTTTAAAATATTTTTGTGCATTGGTGTTTTGCCTCCATGTATATCTCTGTGTGAGAGTGTTGGACCCCCGGGAACTGGAATTACGGCAGTTGTGAGCTGCCATGTGGGATGCTGGGATTGAACCTGGGTCTTCTGGAAGAATAGCCAGTGTCTTAACCACTGAGCCATATCTCCAGCCCTTAAATCTAAATTGTTTGATTTTTGTTTTTGGTGACTGGGTTTCTCTGTGTGCCTTTGGCTGTCCTTGGCCTCGAACACACAGAGATCCACCTGCCTCTCCCTCCCAAGTGCTGGAATCAGATGTGTGTGCCACCAGAAGGCTAGGTACAAATCTAATATTCTGAAGGGTAAATGCTTCGCCTTCATCCATAGTAAAATAAAAACTGTTGTGGGGGAAGGGTGAAGAGATGGCCCACTGGTTAAGAGTTCTTTAACACTCTTCCTGAGGACCAGGTTCAAAGCCCAGCACTCACATGAGACTCACAGCCGTCCGGTATTCTAGTTCCAAGGGATCCGACATGCTGTCTGGCCTTCATGAGAATTCCGTGTATGTGGTGCACAGATATACAGGCAGGACAACAAACAAGGAAAAAGAGTGTTAAAACCCCATCATGTAATAAAAAGAAAGCATACTGTGTGTAGGTTGTTTTTTCTTTTTTTTAAAAAATTGTCAGTTACCATGCAGATCACCTTCAAGTGTGTCAGGTACATGCACCACAGTCCGAGTTTGTTTGGATAGCCAAACCTCCATGTCAAATCTTCACAAGGTTTTGGCACACTGTGTGAGAGAGATTTTAACAGGCCAGATAGAAAATTAATTGGTACCTGTGTCTAGATGCAGTATTTCTGCATAACTGATTAAAATAATAAAAATTCTCTGACTTCAATTTTTGAAAATAATCTGTTTTATGCAGGCGAAGCATTCCGAGGCTTCAGAGAAGATGGTAACAGAATGCCATGCCTTTCAGCACCTCAGGTGTTGATAAGGATGGGTGCCACCCTGCTAGTCTGGTCAATAGTCAGTCAGTGACCATAGCAACACTGACTGAAGGTTCAACCAGTGCCATCTCACAAACCTGAATGGGACCCATCCCAGTCATGGAAAACGGCATGCAACTGCAATTCAGTGGGGTGCATGGACCCAAACAACTCAGTTGTCAAGATTAGATCTGTCTCAATGAAGATTAGAAGAATTTACAACCCGTATTTTAAGTAATCTTATCTGAAATTGTAGCACCTTTTCTGTAATTTTTGAAAACATGTTAAAAGTTTTTTTTTTTAAACATAGTTTCTTGCTTAGGCTTTAACATATTAGTCAAAAATTGAACATAGATGTCATATTAGTGTAAACCAGTTTTGTAGCACTTATAAAAGCAACCATGGCTCATCATGCTATGTTTTCTATCGCCTATATTTACAGTATGCGATTGTATGTAAGATGCATAGTGTTTTTAAAGGAACTTGCCTTCTCTTTGAGCATGTAAATCATAGTAAGTTGTTAGGAAAACTGAGGAGAGAATCTTAGTTATTTCTTTATTTGTATGCATACTTACATAATTTATAGATAATTTCTCCTGAAAACAGTTACAAGGGGTAAGATATGAGGAGTGATACATGAATACCACAGGGTTAAAAGTTTGCCAAGTGATAGCACGATATTTTAAAGCTGGTAAGAATTTGCTGATAAAATAAAATGTTTCATATTTTATCATGAGTAATAATTTTTGTTTGTAATACATTTATTATACATACGTCCTGATCAGTTGCATTCTAAAACACTTGTATTTTAAATCTTTTAAATTAATTTTTGATGCTTGTTTTTTAAGTTTTACTTGGTAGCTCAGCCATGCCTAGAACTTTGTATATGGCCCATACTATCTTGGAAGTCATCATATAGCTCAGGCTGGCCTGGGACTTGTGGGCAATCCTGCTTCAACCTCTTGAGTGCTAGTATTACAGATGCAAGCCACCATATCTGGATCTTGGCTCTTTTTAAACCAAGAGATGCGAACTGTGAGTGAAGGGCGTGGTGGGAGCAATGTGCCATTGGTCTATATGTGCGTGAGAGAAATCCTGTGCTCTCTCCATGTTCTCTAAGCTGGAAGTGATGAATGGTAAAGATACTATGAAGAAGATGCGGGGAACATACTGGTGCAGGCATCAGTTAGTGGTGACTGAGGAGTTGGGAAAAGTAGAAAAGACACCTTAACAAAGGGAAAACTATTCTTTTCATATGATGTATCACAATGCGAGAGCTTCCTTACAAAATAGGCACATGTTGAGTTAGCAGTTGACATAATACAACTAACTGGTCAATAAACAAATTTGTGTCATTAACTATCATAAAATTTGTATCTATTTTGTTAGTATTTACCTAGTATTTGCACATAAGCAAAGACATTATACCATTCATACCTTTGTAATATAAATTGATACACCCTTGCTGAAGATGTAATAGGAAACAGTAGGGGAAACTGTCTGTCTCAATTTTAGGTATCACATACATATATATGATTATGAGTATCTGGCCGGAGAGGACATTTAGTGTGTGCTTGGCTTCTGACACTATGACATATCATGCACGCGTCTCAGTTCTTAGAAGAGTCCTATGCTGTTAGTGTGATGAAGGCGGTGGAACTGTGTGGAAGCACAGTTATATATGCGGTGATATATTACCTATGATTTATTAAAGCTTGCCCAGGGATACAGAAAGCAAAGCTAGCCACATGCTACAGAGCCAGGCAGTGGTGATACACACCTTTAATCCCAGCAACCATACTAGTTAAGTCACAGAGCCAGGCAGTGGCGGCACACACCTTTAATCCCAGCACTCAGGAGCCAGAGGTAGATGGGTCTCTGTTAGTTAAAGTCCACACTTAGCTACACGAAATTGATCCATTCCTAAAGAGAAGCAGCTCATGCGAAGGTGATCTCAGCACGTGAGAACCACACGTCTTTGATCGCAGGATGTGAGAGGTATTAAAGGAAGAGGCAGCAGTTTGGGATGGCAGCCTGAGGATTCGTGGAGCTAGCGGCATCACCCCGAGTTAGAGGTTAGAGCTAGTGACCAGCTGCTTTGCTTCCCAGATCTTCAGCTTGAATATCTGTGTCTGGGTTTTTATCAATCACGTTATAGATATCTCTAACATGTTAGCGGTCTGGGATTCAAGCACAGGTCTTTGCCTACTTGTCCTTTTTACTAAAATGCCAGTGAGGAGGGAATGTGGAAGCCCACAGATGTCTGGTTATGTCCTGATCTGCCTCCCACCACACTGGTTCTCTTGCATCAAATGTTCTTCTGTGTAAAGAACAAATTGATCCTTATGTCAATTCTGAAACCACTTTGAAAAGATGCTCTAAAGGAAGAGTTCAGTGGATTGGAATCGGTTTGAAGCAGGCTTGCTATTGGTGTTCACAGTGGCTCACTACCTGAGGAATGATGTGAGAGCATCCTACGACCTGTGCTCCAGACTCAAATGAGCACACCTCAGAAAGTTTGCAGAAGTAGGAATGAGAAAACTAAAAATGTAAAAGGCTACTTTAGTGTAGTGATGTTGTTTTCAGTAAATGCTGAATTTAAGAAATCAAATATTTGTTAGGTTACACTAAAGAGTTTAATGCATTAAACAGCTGTGAAGAGACTGTAGGCATTTAATTTTCCACTAATGCTGAAGCAGTTTTATTCAGTGAGTCTAGGCTTCTGAAATGGTAATAAGTGGCATAATGATAATAACTTTGATTAAGGGTATATAATTTTTTAAAAATACACAATTTGAAAATATTTAATCTTTAATAATATTATAATTTCATACTTGTACATACATGCTATTAAAAAAGCATAGACAATCCACAGACAGCCCCAAGTAATACCCACCATAGATTTATTAACACTAGGGGGAATCAGAGTAGCTGATAGCCTGGTAGTTAAATACTTTAGTCTTCTACCATACACATATGCACGTGTCCAGACAGTCCTAAGTGAAGAAGTAAGAATGGTTAAAATTAGGGCTTGGGGAAGCAGGGCCTATTGGCCAATCATGTGTAAGGTGTAAGGTTTTTTCTCCTGCTGCCAGTCTTGTCCCACCGCTGCGCCAGCCCCAATTAACACACAGAGACTCTGTATTTGATACAATCCTGTTGGCCTGTTACTAGTTTTTTTTTTATCAGCTAGCGCTGTCTTAATTATTAACCCATTTCTATGTATTTCCACGTGATCTTACCGAGAGCGGAGGAATGGCGGTTTTGTTCTCTCCAGACTCTCCATCCTGACTCTTCCTTACTACTTCCTCTTTCCTCCTTGTCTCCTAGACCCACCTATGTTGCTTTTTTATTGGCCAACAGTGCTTTATTCATTAACCAGTATGAGAAACATATACAGAATGACATCTCCCATCATCTCCTCTTTTATGACTAAAATAAAAAGAAGGGTTTTAACCTTAACATAGCAGAATATATCACATAACCAATATCTTTTTAAAGGAAAAAAGGGAATTATGATATAGATATGAATACTTTGTTTTGGAATAGATTTTCATTTATTGATACAATTTAAGGTCAATCTTATGATGTGTATATTTCTCCTTTTGTTTAGGTATTGTGTTTATATAGCTCATTTAGAAATGTAATGTATAATTGAGTACAGTTTATAGATAGTACCTATGATAGTCAGATATTATAGTTAAGTTAGTTAAAATTTCTAGATATACAGACATGTACTTGAGATGGATAGGCATTCTTCAAACCTTTCAAAGACCTACAGAATATGGCATTTAAAATAGTTTAGGGTTTTTCTTGACAGTGAGACATAATTGTTCCTGGCAACACCACCTGCATCAGAAAGGAAGATGGACATTGAAGAAACGCGTTATGAAGTTTGCTTTCAATATGGCAAGACTAGCCATGTGGACAAGATACTGCTCTTGTCTGGACTGTTTGACTTTGTGCTATATAAACTGGACATGCAGGACCCATAGAAAAGTGATTGCTGATTCAAGATGGACATTTATATAGAGTTCCTGCTTCATGGAAGAGTCTGCCAGACAGTCTGCAGGACACAGAGGAAAGTGACTGACAAACTGCCAATACAAGAAGACAGTTTAAAGTTTCCTAATTTGCTGAAGAGTCTGCTAGACACACTATGGCCTATGGGCTGAAGATGGAAGATTACTAAAGAACTTCGGGTGACCAGGCAGTGAGTTGTCTCTGTCATTTCTAGAGTTTATATATTATCCTTCTGTGGTCTTTGATGGAGTTGAAGACAGATAGTTATGGTTATAGTTTTCCTTAGTTAAGCTTAAAGATAAGTTACATATATGATTTTAGACTCACAAATATAGGATAGATGATAGAATAGTTTCTTTTAATCTTGCTAAATGTTAATGGACTAAATATTGTTAACTGTGATTCTTACTAGATAACTGTTGTGTAATATATTTTGCTATGTTAAGGTTAAAACCCTTCTTTTTATTTAGACAGAAAAGAGGAGATGATGGGAGATGCCATTATGTATATATGTTTCTCATACTGGTTAATGAATAAAGCACTGTTGGCCAATAGGAAAGCAAGATAGGAGGGACTAGAAGACAAGGAGGAAAGAGGAAGTAGTGAGTGAGGAGAGCCAAGATGGAGAGTCGGGAGAAAGCAGTATGCCGGCCGGCTCCCCGGTAAGAGAAATACACAGATCAACAGAAATGGGTTAATAATTAAGGCAGGGCTAGCCGATAAGAAACAAGTAACTGGGCCAACAGCATTGTATCAAATACAGAGTCTCTGTGTATTATTTGGGGCTGGTGTGGTGGCGGGACAAGACCAGAGGTGGTGGGCGGAAAAACCATAGTCCTTACAATCATGCACCGCCATTTTGGTCAATAAACTTTCAATGGTGTGCAAACATGGCCACTCATTTCTGTCTGTATCTTCATTCATGCTATAAGAACAGAGTTAAAGAACGTCCATTAAAAGTATACATTGTATAAAACCTTGAGATTCACAGGCAAATAGATTGAATTAGAAAAAAACCATCCTCAATGAGGTAACCCAGCACAGAAAGGAAAAACATGGTATGTACTCACTCATAAGTGGATTTTAGACATAGAACAAAGGATCACCAGCCTACAATCCACATCTCCGGAGAAGCTAGGAAACAAGGAGAACCCTAAGAGAGCCATGCATAGTCCCCTGGAGAAGGGGAAAGGGACAAGATCTCCTGAGCAAACT